CGAACCTTCGATATAACGAACCACTGAATTTCTCCAGTCCCTTGGCACTTCGTTAAATCGAGGTTCCACTGTAATCAAGAAATTGAGCTGAGGATTAAATTTTCAAATTTTGGAATTTAATTAAAGACTAAACAGACGTTTCCTTAAAAACAAATGGGCTTTCCTTAATGCAATGCATCTTATCTCCATAAATTTGTTTCTGGCACCAGAAGAAATGTAAACACTTCCCGACAGCAACACATTAGTTCAATTTACCAGAAAGTTCGTAAAGTACGGACAAACTTGAGAGATCGAATTTAGTTAATTTAAGAGCGAGCTTTGACGGGAAAAGGATTTTGACCGATTGCCCACTTTACTGAATACAGCTTTACCAGTGACAATTATATAAACGCAACCGGAAAAACACAGGTGTTTCTAGGATGAATCTATTTGCATACGCGTCAAAGTTTGGAAATATGACAATAAACTGCGCTTCTAAGAAGCCAGTTAAAAGACAGGAAATCTTCTTCAGTCGATTGGGGAAGTCGTAAGTTCTTTTTCGAAGAGAAAACGAATTCGCATAAACACTAAAGTTGGTTTTGAGCTTAAGCGGCGACACTAGCCGAAAGTGAACTCAACTGATGGTCCTCTTAACTCGTCGATGAAACACCACAGATTCAGAAAGAAAAAAAGAGCGTTCAGCCTGCCAGCTGTATCTTTCTTCAAGGTCTGTTAGTTATTTCAGCTTATTTGACAATTCACGTTTTGTTGTAAATGTTAACTGCAAGATATCTCTAATGAAAGCCCAGTGGTTCAGTTCGTATCTTTGATAAAATGAGATACAGTTGCTTAAATCGAAAAACACTTTATCTTAGGTCTAATTGATGAAATCTTCAGGAAAACAGCCTGCAAAATTCGTCCTTTGACTAAATACTGGAGCGCCAAACACATTAGATGTTAAAATATAGATTCGCGCTGAAATGATCCTCAATTACGTGATCTCAATACGAGGCTCTTTCTAAAAATTTTCGGGGAAGTCTTACGAAATATCTTTTATTCCCAACATTTTAGCACTCAGTCAGTGCCGCAAATTTTTCTTTCCCAGGGTTAGTTATTTAGCAGCATCTTGACACTTTTTAATTTCGTCTCAATGGAAGTTTAGCTTCAAGAAATCAGCATCAATTATAAATTACGTGATCAAGCGAAGTTCGGCGGAGAGTTTTAAAATTATATAATGTTGTCATATCCATCACCAAAAGGAAAGCGGGCGTCAGCTAACAACAGTAGGACTTCTCACATTTTTATCAGAATTCACTTAGCTAAAACTGACAGCTATTGATTGTGGAAAAGCTATCTCTGTGATTAATTTTTTTTAATTTGTTTCTTTTTTTTAAGCGGTATTTCATCTATAGAACACGCCCCAAAGATTACTCGTAGTTTTTGGCCTGAAATTTAAGAGTGGGCGAGTAGTGATTATTGCGGAATTATACATCTAAATCTTGTAAGAATTCTACTTTAAATTCTTTATCTTCAAATTCTATGCAACTCATCTTTATGATATTTTGGCAATATAAGCGTTTGTTTTGATCTATATTTTCGCCAATTATTTAGCTAAAATTTTACATCATGTAGATCTTATATCTTATATCAATGGCTACATATGTACGGCTTAAAAATATATCTATCAAATTGTTATGTTGGTTTTGAATACGTGACCACAAAGGATTTCTGTTTGCTTTTAAATTACTCAATTAATTACGTAGCCATTAGATATTTGACTTGGATGTCGTGTTAATGTGAATTCGAACGCCTACTAGCTACTGCAGCGTATTCTTTTACATAGCCTTCAAACTTTGTTAAAGACGTATGACACATCACTCCGCTGACTCATGTGACTTTATCAGTTTAGTTTCTCTTGTAAAAGGACCAAATCAATGGTTTTAACAATCTATCGAACAATTTTTTTTAGCTCCTAAAAGAAGCATCTGTAATGTGAAAAGGATTATAGTTGTTCATGATATTCTTTCACCTCCAAAAATTTGACAGTCCAACTATTTTAAAATTAATTTCACTCTTCTTTCTAGAAAACCTCTTTTTAGATTTGATCATTATGAAGAGCTGTTCTGTAAGTTTTTCATCATTTAACATCATGCAAAGTTCAGCCAAAGGTTATCACAGTCATACATAATTTCGCCATGTTGATTTTACAGTTCAGGAGGAAATGCGCGTCTAAATTTGCAAATGAGCGGTTGCAAAGATCATCAGGGAAGATTGGACTTAGAATCTACAAACTTTTTGTATTACTTTATTCCAACCAAGTGTCGGCGTAAAATAACAATTGCAGTAGTCAACTGTCCAAAGGAATCGGCGAGATTTAACAAATGGTAAACACCACAGCGTACACTATTGAGTTATGGATGCACGCGGGAGGTTGCTAAGTACGAAAGAAGCGTAAGAGTCGCTCCAGGCGATAGCCGAGAGCGACTCTAGCTTCTTGAGTGCTTAGCAAACCTTCCAAGTGCATCCATAACTCAATAGTGTACGCTGTGGTGTTTACCATTTGTTTTATAACATAACATTGATACATTGTAGCTAAAGAGTTCCCTTTTATTTAACAAATCTTACGCGCCAGAAAAAACAAGCGCGCGCGTATTAATAGTCTTTGCATTTGCTCACGTCAGCAGCGTACACCCATGGGCAAATGGGGGACGCTAAATTGACCAATCAGAGCGCGCGCTTTACTTTGGTTATGTTATAATACATTATTGCCAGCATTAAAAATGAAATTTTCAGACATTGAGCCTTAGACAAAGAAAAAGGGAAAACCACTCACAATTCTGTTGGGTGTTATTCCAGCGTCACAAGTTCACTCTTTAATAATAACAATTTAATAAAAAAACGTTCCTTTTCGAGCTCAGTCTCTAAGCGTTCATTAGCTATGATTGGCTTACCGAATAAAGAGGGGGGATTGGGGGGGGGGGAGATTCCCGCGCAAATTTGAACTATTTACGTTTCAGAGGAGTGCAGAAAAAAATGCATAAACCTTATATAAGACAATTTTCAGTTGGGTATGGAAAGTTATTCGGGATACAATAGGAAAATTTCGAGATACAGAGAGCCTCACTGCCTCATGCTAGTTTATTGCAGGTTACCCCAATCATCGTCAGGTTCCTTTCAGTTCCCAGTCATATTTCTTGGTGGAGAGAGGCACGGGGAGAGAGTAAAAAATGTCTCGCCTAAGAGTACAACATAATGACCCGACCAGGTCTCACACCCAGAGCTCTCGTTCTGGAATCCAATTCGCTAACCTTTAGGCCACCTCATGTCTCTCCCACTAAGCGACAGGGGAATTTCTCGTCACAGTAGGCAATTATTCGCACTAAACTGAATACCCATTATCGATTTGCATTTCTGCATTAAACAGAGTCAACAAAACGATGACTCGTTGGATGTGAATTTAAACGAAAAGGGAAGCCTGGAGTATTCACGTCAAACAGAGAGGTACAAGTTATGCGTCGTTGGTGACAGTGAGTGTGGAAAGACGAGTCTGCTGAATGCACTTGTTAGAAGTGATTTTGAGGTAAGTGGTGCATTTTCTCGGAACATGAAATTAATTTGAACATCTCTCTCTTCAGTTTCTACCCTCTTCTTTATAGGGGGCCGGAATCAATGAATTAATAGATAATCTGGATGAGCGACTGACTGACCGACCAAACCATTGACTGACTGACTGACTGACTGACTGACTGACTGACTGAGTGGCGGCAGGTTGATAGACTACCCGAATGGCTGGCTGGTAGACAGAGCGACTGACTTGCCGAATGACTGACTGGCTAGATTGCTGGCAGACCATCTGGCTCTCTGACTAACTGATTGGCTGGCAGACTGACCAACTGACTGGCTGGAATTTCAATTTTCAATTTTCAGGCGGGTAGACTGACTGAATGACTGAGTGATTGATCCGACTGACTGACTAGCTGGCTGACTGACTGACCAACTTACTGACTCTCTGACTAACTGAGTGGCTGGCAGACTGACTGTATGGTGGACTGACCCACTCCCTGATCGAGAGGCTGACAGTTTGGCTGGCGGGTAGACTGACCGAATGATTGAGTGATTGATCGGCAAACCAACTGATTGACTGACTAACTGACCAACTAACCGACCAACTGACCGACCCTCTGACTAACTGAGTGGCTGGCCTCTACTAACTATGCTGGCAGACTGACTGACTGATGGACTGACCGAATGATCAAGAGAGTGGCAGTTCGGTAGGCGGGCAGACTTACAGAATGGCTGATTGATTGATTGGCAGGCCGACTGACTGACTAGCTGGCTGAGTGACTGACTCAACTGATTGACTCTCTGACTAACTGAATGGCAAGTTGACTGTTTGACCGACTGACTAACTGACTACCTGAGTTACTTGGCCGCAGTCTGCCCGCGGCCGGCTGATGACTGACTGAGTGACTAACCAAAAAATTAACTCTTGTGGCGGATGCTGGTTTGCCAATCAGTTGATTCATCAATGGCTATCCGGTTAAACAAGTCATGCTCCCTTTTCATTTCGCTGCTTTGATGACCACTAAGAAATCTTCAACTTGAGGCCTTTTTACTTTACTTGACAGTGTTTTCTTGTAATTTTAAGTTTTACTTCCGCAACAGGCAGAAGAATCGTGTATTTTTGGCGAATGCGTGGCAGATATCACGACAGAAGAAAGTAGAATAGAAGTTATGCTCTGGGAAATATCAGGTAAATACTTGAAGAAATACGAAACTTGGACGACCTGCCAGCCGATAATCCCAAAACAGACCTCTTTTATTTACAAGTGGAGGAAAAATGGAAAAAAGACAGTCATTCCTAAAGGAAACAATGACCACTTCTTAGTACTGTGTTTTTTCTTCCTGTGGTTAATCTCCATCTGCAAAGAACTGAAATGGGTGTAAACAAGAGATGATAATCCGACTTGAATTTCTCTTGGCCTATGAACTCCTTTGTTTTAACGAAGTTGTGTTAATCTCACAAAGCATATCTTTTCATCTCCCATCAGGTCTTGAGCACTTTGATAGCATCAGAAGGGAGATGTATCGGGACTCTGACGTCATTCTGATTTGTTTCGATATTGGGCATCCCCCATCGCTAAAAAGCGTCGTTGACAAGGTACCTAGTGTCTTCTTCAATTATAAACTTAGAGTGGCCAAATATTTTATTTTACTTCTTATCATCCTTTTTGTTCCTTAACAGTGGGTCCCCGAGATCAGTAACGCATGCCCGGGAGTTCCATACTTGTTGATTGGCTGTAAGAATGACTTGCGCTCTGACGCGGCTCTGCAGCTCTATCTGACCGTGCCGGGTCAGGAGCCTGAGGAGAGTGACAGCATCAGTAGACTCCAGGTAAATCACATTGTCAGCGGAGAACTGTCATCTTGCAGTTCGCATCTCTAAAACATTGTGCTTAGGCTCCCTGATATCTCTATCATGACAATGTCTATTGTTTGAACGAGTCAGACTTCGCACTTAGTTTGTCCTTAAAATGGCCCTTGTTATGATTCTGTTTTTTTTTTTTTTTCATTTCAGGCTATTTCAATGGCGCAGTCTATCGCCGCACGTGATTATGTGGAATGCTGCGCCAAAACACGCTGGAATGTTAAAGAGGTGTTCAAGAGCGCTGCCGTTGCTATTCTGCACAAGGACGACGAGAAAGCTCCGGAAGATACCAACAAATCTCAATCGGTGCTTCGGAGATTTTCGTGGTTCCATCGGAGATCTTCGGGATCTGATCTAAATGACTGCAACACGGTTGCTCGCTCTGTGTCAGGTGGTCGGAGACGTTCCCTGTTTTCAACGAGCTAACTAGCGGGGAAGCTCTCGACCTAAAGGTTCTGATGTATTTTTCAAATCATTTGGGGCGGTTGCTTTTTCCTTGACGTCACTCAAGACAAATTGAATGATATTGCTCCAAATTTTGAGGTCGTTAATTTCTCAAATGAATCAATTTGAAGCCCAGAGCTCCATGATTTCCAGATGGTAGGATATGTTTTCTTCCAAAGCTTCTAAATCAACAGTTGAAGAGGACTCATTTTATTTATATTTAAAAGTCAGAGTCGTAACAGTATTGAGGTAAATAGCAAGGTTTGTGGCTTGATCTAGTTCTTTTCTCCGACTTTCGTTTGTAACTGTGGATAAGTCACTGAAATGTTTTGAGTGTTATGGTGATTTGCTGATCGATGACATCCTCACTAAAAGTTTGACTTAATGATATTGCCGCTTACAGAAATAAGTATGTTTCGATTCAAGAAGAGTTTATTCGCTTTAAAATTAAATTATAAATTATATTAAAGTTATTAGTTACAAACCATGTATGATTTTTGGTACGAGTATGGCTTAGAACTTTCGTGTTTTGAAAGTTTAGTAGACTGGAATTAGGTCGTTTATCCAAAAGAGTATTCTATTGTAACAATATTTCATTTGAAGGGAAAAGACTTCAAGGTTTTTTAGATATGTATTGTATACATTTTTCGATACTTTTAGTATTACAACATCATGAAATACAATATTTATATTATTGAAAAACAGGTTTTATTGTATTT